TTGGCCAACAAATAACAATCTGACTCTAAAGTTTTTTTAGTGTCTTTCAAGAGCTTTTCTGAAATTCTGAAATTCCCAAGAGATAGAGGAAACAGAATCACTGTAGGAATAATAAAGTTATTTTAACCTACATAATTTTGAGTTCATAGGAAATTTAACAATAACATTGGAAGAGATGGTTTAATTTTCAAGTTGTGGATAAAAGTAGATCTTAATATTTAGGAAGGTTTCAAAAGAATCATGTATGTAAGAGTAATGACAGATTTAACATTATGATTTTTTATATGTATAACCAATTTCTTGAGCAACTGAGAGCTGAGAACATAACTGAGAATATAGGAGGCAGATGCAAGGCTTTAAAAAGCATTTGGCAATCACTGGACATCCTCTCTAATCAATTCCCGTTAAGGGTCAGCCACGCAGGCTGAGACATTATGGGAATTAGAGCCTACGTTATCTGCAGAATTTGTAAACTAGATGTGATTTATTTCTATAAGTGGAATCACTGCTGCTTAAACCACTGTGGGAATCACTGGTTTTAGTTGTGTAGCAACATCCTGTTACATTTATTTTTTTCCCCATTGAATTCAACCAGTGGTGGACTAAAAAAACCTTGAGTGCATCTAGGTGGATTACCAATTAAAAGATACTGCCTGCTTCATACGACTTGCAGACTAGGCTAAAATGGAGTTGGGAGCTTGCAGCTCAATATATTGTGGGAAGACATGCATTTTCATAGTCCTGATGGAACCAGATTATCACATGGATACTGGATTCCATCTTTTTCTCCTTCAGTTAAGGAGGAATATTCATGTTTATAGAAAGAATGAACACACACATAGATACAAAAGAAACAGAAACCCCAAGCATATTGCAAATATGAAATGATCTCTCTCTGAACAACAAACTCCTCAAAAACTCTACCTAAATAAGATAGGTTGTTTATACCCTAAAACCTTCATCTCTGGAATAACCACAATGTTTATCTACATTGCAAATCACCCTTATGGTGTGTGGGTGGCATTTATGATATTCCAGATGTGGAGCCAATTTGGTATAATGATTTAGGTGTCTGACTAGAAACCGTGAGAAGGGGAGTTTCAGTTCCACCTTAGGCACAGATCAGCTAGATCACCATGCCCCCCCTCTCTCACAGCAGAAAGGTGGGGGATGGGGTAGGAATTGCAAAGAGAGAGGCAGGACTGCTTTGGCTAAACCCATATTTGACAATGAAATAACAACCTATTTGTAAACCAAGCATATGGATAAACGGCACAATAAAATCATTTTAAAAAGTGTATCAACAAACCCAAAATCTCAATAAAAGCAGAAGAGGAAGAAAGAACTGATAATAGCTGAGTGCTAAACTCAGTTTGGGTTCCGCTTAACTGTTTTTCTTTATGAAAACAAAAGCACTCTAGAGGAATCTTTTACAAAATAATATCTATTTTAAAATTCAGATGGTAGACTTTTGAGTTTCTGCAGAAACTTTTATGAGGCAAATTCGATTTTTAAAAAAGGGAGGGGGAAGAGAAAAATCCAAAAATTAGGCAGCTATTTCAAACATCTGCAGTCCAGAATGAATTTTTAACACGGAGGCTGTAATACATCGGTAGTGTTGTCTACCATATGTTCTGTTTGTACATTAATTACTTTTCAGAACAAAATCAATGGCTACTTCTCTTCCATCTTTCCGACTGAAAATCCAAAGATTATTCTTTCTTAGTTGGTCTTTTGTCAAGGGCAAAGTACCCAAAGTCTCAGTGTGGCAGAGAGGACAAGGAAAGAGACATCCCAGTCTTTATCTCCGCAAAGCTAGAGATCGATTTTAACTGGTTCATTAGATTAAAATGATGACTAAAGCAAATAGTCTAACATTACCAGTCTGCTATTCAGTGGGCAGGTGCTGATGGCATCCCACGCTAAAAAGCAGGTTCTTCCATCTCTTAGCTGGCAATAATGCGCTTTCTGCCATAACTGAGAGCCACCAGGAGGCAGCTGAGCATCTGAGGGAAGCAATGTTCAAGGCTGGGTTTGACAGATAATAGGGGAAGTGACTGGCCAGAACAAGAAACAGACGCCTTATTCTTTGATAGCAATCTGGACTCTTCCTGTTCCTCAGAAGAGACTTTTTTTGACTGCCTGCTCTCTGGGTTGGATAAAGAGGTGATGTTACTGTTTTAAAGCTGAAGGAAGACCAGCTCTTGGCAGCAGAGAAAGTCTCCCCAAGCAGAAGCGTGCCGACTCCTTCTCCTTACATTTTGGATGCGATGAGTGGTGACGTCCACAGGATTCCCGTTGTGTCTAGTCGAGATTTGCAAAAGGTTAGTTAATTTAGCCTTTTGTGAATACAGTATTGGGTCCTTAATTTTGATTGGGATTAAGCACACACACAGGCCTTTTTGAACATTGTCAGAAGACAGTTCCTGTCATGTGTGAATCATATTATCCCATCGTACATGCTGCCTTGGGATAATATAACTGAAAAAGAGCACTTAGGAAAATACTTCTAAAACAGAGTTAATTTTATGGTTAATACAGGGGAGGGGAGTTGAGCTGGGCTTCTTCCAAGGAATAATAATAATACTGTTTATATGCAGGGAAAAAGGATATTTCTCAAATAAATTCACCTGCCTCAGTACTGGATCTTTCATGCAATTCTAGGCATAATTGTCAGAAGTAAGCCCTACTGAGTACACTACAATATGGTTTACTGCAAAGTAAAAAAAAATACCTAATTTTATTCTACAAAAATTACCATTACCACTATCCTAAGCTACAATTATTTGAATATGCTACTGATCAATAGGATTTTCATTTGAAAATAAAGAAAATAATGAGCAATGAGAACTTCCAAGTGCAATATTCCATTATTACTTTTAAACCTGTGAGATCATAACCTCTGCCCAAGAAGCAACTTTTGCTTTAGAGTTTAACTACCAGCAGCTTATAAAAATAAATATTTTAGTGATGTAGATGTGAATTGGGCTCCCCATTTCCGATCAGGGAAAAAAACGAAACATATCTCCTTAGAAACTGGGAAATCAGTTTCAACAGTGTAGACGATTTAACAACTTGTTTACCTGGCCTCTCAAAGGACAAGTGAGATTTTTCAAAATTTCTCTCTTTCCCGGTGTTCAGAGCCTTTCCATCAAGAAGGTCCCAATTTGTTTTCTCCCTCTTGAGAAAGACTAGAGGGTGTCACACCAAGGATGGTTTCTCCTGCTAGCCATTCTGTCACTGTAATAGCTTAATTGACTCCTATTATATCTAGCCAGATGGTAAGAGTTTCTTTCTAAGTGCCTTTTGCTGCTTCTTTATGAGCTTGTTAAAATAACATTCCTGATGTTTGTGGATTTTGCTTGTAGAGTGACTGCAACCACAGGTGATGCCATGGAAGTCTCCTCCCCACCCCAGTTTCCTGACTCCTTTCCTAGTAACTGACCTGTTCCTGCACTGCTCAGAAGAGGGAAGGTTTTACTACCCCAGATACGAAGTGCACTGTATCTGTCCTCCACTCTGCCCTTACTCGGTCTCCTACACTACATGGCTACGCTCAAGAGCATTCTCTAAGTAGATGGCTCTCAGGGAAGAATTCATGCTATAGATAGAACAGCCGCTTCCAGTGATTTCCAAGTAAGTTAAAATTAAGCTTTCTGTTTTCAAAAATTAGTGGGAAAGGGCTATTCATGCAACGAAGCACGTGGGATGATATTAAAAAATGTGAGCGAAAGAGATCTACATACTGCTCACTAGTTTGTTCTTGCATTGGCTGCACTTTTCTTGTGGCGGTGTGATGACATCACATTCTAAAAGACCATGTGGGGCCTTTGACCCTTAGCAAGATGCACATCTATCTCCTAATACAAAGAATAACAGTTTAAAGGTTCGGCAAGCTGTTTGGGTGTGGGAAAGAAGATTTAAGAAACGGTGGAGTTCACAGGAAGAGCAGAGATATATATTTTTTTTATCTTACTCATTTCCTTAACTACAAAAGCATCTTGCAGATAAAAGTTGTTCTGTTTAGATTTCAAGGCCGTACAGAATCAAACTAGAAATTTTAAGTTAACATCATACTTTTCTTCAGTGTTAAAAATAATTCCTTTAACTGTGTAAAACCGAGAATTGGACAGGAGGCACATTTGAAATTCCAAATATGTCATAATGGTTACCATGGAAGTAGTGGGGTGGGGAGGGGCACCAGACCATCCATTTACCAGAAATGGATGAAGAGGTTGATGGCCCCATTTTTTATTTTCTAATCTAAAAGAACATGTGCAGAACCCGAGTGGTTTCCTAAAGCATTTATAACTTGAGACTAGGCTTTGTTTCACAACATATCACTGTCCAGTTTATAGTGAAAAGCATCTAGAAAAATAAAAATCAGATGGCAATTTGTCAGATACGAGGTGTCCTTGTCACCAGATTGCTTTGCACTTTCACAAAAAATTATTTTTAAATCATTATCTCCAAATTACATTCTGCTTTTCTTAGTTGAGGAAAACGTAGAATAATTGAATGTTTCCAAATCCATCGTTTTTAAAAAAAATCACATTTGGAACATCTGTTACAAAGTTTCTCTAGCAGTAATTACTCTAGATATGAGTGATTGACAATATATTAGTGGGTTTATTTTTGTGTAGGACTGCATTTTAAATTTCTGAAATGTGGAGTTGCAATTATTCACTTCTCTGTTGTGGTTAATCATACCCTTAATATTTATGCAGTACTTTTTGTAAGATTTCTTTTACACGCTTTACCTAAAGTCATAGACGTTTTGCACTAATTAGTACATTATTAGGGCATTCGCAGTATTGAGAGCAGCCTGTTTTCTTTTTATAGAATATATATCACTGTGTAATATACTAAGAAATGCAACATAACTGAATTTTTTTCTATAGTTAGTCATTATTTTAAAAAGAAAGCTAAATATTAAGCCATATATCTCCTGGTTTTATTTATTTAGACTATTTTCTTATTTCCTTGAGGAAGTGATTTCAGAAGCCCAGAAGATTGTGGATTCTTGATTAGATGCTCAGATGAAACATCTTATATCCTTATTTTCCCAGTCCCTATCAGCTTTCATCATTCTAGCCAATGTTTTCATTATACTTGGGATCCTCTTCAATCGCAAGCTTCATGGTACCATCAACTGGTTCTTCCTGAGTCTGCTCATTGCTGATCTCTTGGCTGGAGGAGCCCTTTCCCATATCTCCAAAATGTCATTTGAGAATTATAAGTGGTCCTATTGGTGTTTTGCATATTATGCTATGCCCAATTTCCTTTTCCTCTCTTTTTTAGCCAATCTGCTGGTGATGCACTATGCTAAATATACATGCATCAGTCATCCATTGCACTATCACCAGTCCTGGGTTTATCGTTGGGCTGGTCTTTACATATGCTTAGCATGGGTGTCTCCCTTGAGTTTTGCCTCCATGCCATTGGCTTGGTACCAACGGAAGTCCAATAATACTTCCTGCTCTGCTGAACAAATCTTATCCTGGCCTTACCTCTATGTGGAAACCTATGTGTTCATCATCCCAATCATCTTTGCAATAGCTGTAATGGGTATCCAAATGCTCTGCATTGCCCGAAAGCAGCTTAAAAACATTAAAAAACTGCTTAATTCAGTGAATCAAAGTCAGACCCCGTCAGATTTGGAGCAACAACTGGAACTGAGGCATGCAAAGAGTATCGCCAGTGTATCTCTCATCTTCCTGGTGTGCTGGGTGCCATATATTGTTTGTTTGAATATCTCACTGCATTTAGAAATAAAGGGTAGTAACACCCTTCCTATTGTTATCTGCATAGGCACTTCCAGTGCTGCTGTAATACCCATCATTCTCAGTCTTAGCAATCGTCAATACACCGAATTTTGGAGTGACATGGCCAAGAAAGCCTATAGAGCCTGCTGCCGAAGACAGGGGTGCAAACAAAAACAAAATAATCAGCCCCGTGGCAATAACAACGAACCTCCTACAAATCCAGTCTGATACTTTCCAGTGGGAAGTCATCAAATCCCTCATCCACCCATTCAGCAGCACAAATGCTTCAATCTTCTCCTTTCAGCTTGGAATGAAATTGGAATGTTTGCTTCCAATTGTGGTTCCCCACAATCCAGTTCAGAATTCTGTTGTTTGTTGGGGATCTAATATGCATGCCATTCAAAAATTCAGCTAAATATAAAACGGATGAAGAAAGAGAAAGGACATTCCTTTTTCTCTTCCTTGCTGGCAGTCCTTAGAACACAAAGAAGGCTGGAATGCCTTGAAAACACATTGACTTTGATTTGCTATCAAAAAATGGAAAAGTTGAAAATCAATGAACGCAGTTGTGAATAGATTCTCCCACACAGCTCTATTGAAATCCCCTCCTCCTGAATCGCTGCCTTTTAGACCTGCTGCTCACATTAACCCCTCCTTTCTCCTTGCATGGAAGGAATCCCTTGTTCTCCATTGTAAGAATCTCAGAATAGATGATAGCAACTGAATTTCAGCAATCTTAGCTACAATCCTTGTAGTGCAGTTGAAGGATATTGGGAAGTCATTGAGATATTTGTAAATCCAGTAGCTGGGTTGAATCATAGGTTCTTTATATGGGTATGTCAAAATGGGATCAGCTTGCACAAGCAGACTAAAACAAAGCCAAACACGGATCACATTCAAAAATCAGATCTGTGTAATGTAAGATCTTTGTTGAAAAGATTTAGATTCATTCACCATGAAGGCATGCAAAGTACGTTAAGTAAATCTTCCATTTCCCATTAATCTTGATCTGGCTATCTCTCACAACCCCATGAGATAGGCAAGGCCCAATTAGTCTCATTTTTACAGGTGAGGCAAACTACATTGAAGCACACCTCCATTTTCCTGGTGTTCTCAAGAATCATCAACAACGCATGGCAGCCACTGTAGTAGAGACTGAATTGTTTATGTCTATAGTTGATGCTGGAGACTTTTAAGGGCTGAAACAGGCGAAGAAGGCACTAGTGTTGTTTCACCAAACCAACCCTGAGCAGGAAACTCCCAACTCAAGGCTGGGAATGGAATGGACAAATGTTCGCTGACTGAAAATACTAAGATAAAAAGGCTAAGAATTTATACCTTAAAGCTAATACTGTATGCTGGGCTCCTTAGATGTCGTTTTCAATAAAAGAACTTTTTAAAGCTGTCTTTAAGTCAATGAAGCTTCTGCTAACTACTAAATGGGGGGAAGAGGGGGTTAAGTTCCTAAGAAACAAGGGTGATTATAGCTGTGTTTGGTGTGAACCTTGATGATAAAGGCTGCCAATAGAGGCAAGAAATAATTAAAGATTGATGACTTGGTGACAAATTTCATTAAGTTGAGCTTGGGCTGTTGTTGTTTTTTTAAGCCTGCGGGTTTATTTAAATTCCATTTATCTTTTTCTGAGAAGAAGCAGATGCTTGTAAGAAGGTCAGAAGTAGACTGGGTTGCCATTTATGCTTATTAATACCCATGACTAAGAGACATAATGTCCTCATTAAAGAGGTAATCTAGTTCTCATGACCTTAATTGGTCTAATTCCCTTTTAAAACAAGATTGGGAGCGATTACTACCTCTTATCCAGCGATCTTTCAGATTAGGAATTCCCACTTTCCATCTTTAGTTATAAAACATCAAGCCAATTTCTTATTTCCTTCATCCTTGCATAGAGCAGTTTGGGGTTAGCAAACTCAGGCTTGGCTGCTGGGCCTCCGATCACATATAATAAAAACTAAAGGTTTCTCATTTTTTTTAACCTTTTACCATAGATCTGATGACGCAAAGCATACATGGAACAATGATATTTGTCATAATTAAGAATATTCAAATTCAAATAATTTTATTGCAGTCACTAACCAGCAGAAAATTAAGAATATTGAACCTGTTGATTTCTTCATACTATGAACTGAATCTTATTCATGCAAAGGAAAAGAATGTCAAAAGATCAGAAAATCTCATAGGACAGTTTCATTAAGGGCTTTATATGGTCAGATTATGTAAAAAAAAACCAAAACAGTAATCAATCCAATGATCAGTGTTGGGGAAAGTGCCTTTTGTTGGTTCCACAACAGCTTAGAAAGGATAAGTATTTTAAGGATAGTCTCTATTGAGAAATTCTGGTTAACCCAACACATTGTGATATTAATTGGTACACTGTTTGGGGGATATACATATTTCTGTTTTCCAGTCAACGATAGCATTTGAAAGCAGTAGGTGAAGTCTGAAAGCAGAATCCAAAGGATGATTATATCAGATGAGATCAAAAATCCTCTTAAGCACAACCCACTACAGATTGCAGGGCAAGCCAGAATTGGAAATATTGGGCTCCACCTGATGGAAAACAAGACATCCATGCAGCAGCAAGGACGCTGTTATAAATAAACTACCTTCTAAGCCCTACCAGCCAAAAGTCTGATACTGCAAGGGCTCCCTAGTGAGACTGTAGTAAAAGTAATCTGGGCAATGAGCTGTACTGGACCACTCCTGCAAATCCAACAGGTAGCATAGTTGGAGTTGCCTAAAAAAAAGCAAAGTCATTGAGAAAATGAAGGCATTGGACAACAGCACTACTTTCCAGACTACATCTAACTAACTTGTTTGGTAGCAAACCCTGATCACCCACAGCTAAGAAGTTTCACTCTAGCTTTCGCTTTTCTAGCTGAGTAGGCTCTTAAATATCAACCTTGCATCTTGCAGTAGTTCCTTACCACCCCTACCACCCGAAGCACATTGTAGAATTGCTTTTATATTGTTAGCCTCTTTAGCTTCTCTTTCGGACTGGAGTTAAATTTCTCTGAACATCAAGGAAAACACAGTACTTGGTTATAATTTGAGTTTACATTACCTAGCAATGAGCACCTATCTGAAACATGACACCCCAGACCCCACACCATTGTTCAGGTATCTTTACCCAACTATCCTAAAAGATTTTCAGGCAAAATGAATGGCTGCATGGTTCCACTTGATACACTCCTTACTGTTATATTTCTGGTATGAGACAATGCAACATCTTTATGTTTTTCCCTCTTGCCCGTTTCAGGACAATAGGCTGGTCTTTGGTTACCACACGAACTAGCTATCTAGTCGGTGCAACCATGGTCTAGCAAGCCACAAATTCAAACAAGCCCTTCAAGATGACAGTCTTCTTTTTTATTTTGTCCTAACATCTAGAGATGTAACAACAAGCTGTCTTGTTATTGTCACTGAGAGGTCCATGTATTCAAGTCCAGGATGACCTGCTCAGTTTCCACTAGAGTTCCAAAGCCTCAGGAACATCATTTGATTGGCTCTGAACAAATCCACATGATTCGCTGGAAGGGGAAGCACAAGCTCAAAATGAAAAGGGAAGGATGAGCCTTACTGTCATTTCAGAGGCTGTGTAACAGTCCATTTGCCCCATCTTAAGGGGAAGAACATAGAAGGTGATACCTCTGATCTCCATGTATGTATCTTCAAAAATTATGTGAGAGGAGATCTCTTTGAAACTGGGAGAAGTATGGAGGTTCCTCTGAGATACATCACTTCAGTGCCTACCACTGCCCAGATCCTGATCCAAGCCCCACCCACTTGTGTTTTCTCATAGCTTTGCGTGCGAAGCACCAGGGATTTAAATACTTAAAAGCCTTTTGTAGAAAACCCCAGCAATCAGTTGGGGATAGAGGGGGCAAAGCTTTCTTTTCAAAATAAGGATGATTCTGAAATGTTTAGTTGCCTCACTGCAGCTAACCCCATCCACTCTGCCAAAGTCTCATGAGTATGTCTGTCGTCAGTCACATGGCACACTCCCCTTGCAGTGCCCAGTCACCTAAATGCTAGCGGTCAGGTTGTTGCACACAAAACACCTTGGCCTGGTGATCACCAGAAGTAGTAATTACAAGCGAAGCATCTCTGCAAAAAGAGAGAGAGAGAGAGAGAGAGAGAGAGAGAGAGAGAGAGAGAGAGAGAGAGAGAGAGAGAGAGAGAGAGAGATATGATTAAATATGCATATAGTCACATATATACTGTATGCCTCAATATGTATGTTTATACCAAACAAAAAAAACAAAAGGAAAGAAGCAAAAAATATCATGATACTACAAATCAAATATTAAGTTAAGATATGCTAAGAGGGAGACAAGAAAAACAGGCTCATACTATCATTTCTGCTGAGACTCCAGTTGGTTTAGGTTACTCCTCAAATATCTTTATCAAATTATACAAAGTATTATAAATAATGCTAATATAAACAATGCTGTTTTTATGAATCAGCTTATTTTTCTCCTCCTCCATCCCATTTTCCTTTCCTTGCACATCCTGTCTCTTTGATTATAAATCTAAAGGCAAGCACTATTTTGGTGCCAATATTTCTAAGTTGGGAGACTCTTTGGCTAAAGGATGAGGCAAAAGGCTCGGAATGAGTGTGTTTTAAAAATCAGTACTTAGACGCCGGAACGTAGCAGCAATCCTGCAAATAACCAGGAAGAATTCATCAAATAAGTGTGATCAAAAACATTAATATAAAGAAGTCCTTTGAAATATTAACCAATAATCACATAGTCATTTATGAGCTCAATCCTGTCGATGCTTAGTAGATATGCAATTAATCTTCATAACACCAGTGTGAGTGGGTTAAAAAAAGGAATCACATAGTAGAAATAACAAGCGGAAAGTCTAAAAGTCAAAGAGCTTGGGAAGTCCTATATTAAGCCCATGATTCTGACATATCATCCATTTTATTTTCTTGTTCTTGCCATTACTGAGAGCCTGTGTAGTGTAGTCATAAAGATGTTGGGCTGGAGTTAGATCTGGAGTCTTCTGTTACAGATATTCAATGGGTGACTTTGGGCCAATCACTCTCTGTCAACCGAGCATATCATAGGATTGTTGTTGTTGTTGTGGGGGAAAAATGGGAGGATGGAACACTGTACTGTATATACTGCCATGGCCATCTTAAGAAAACATGGGATATAATTCTAACACAAAAATAAATGATAAGCATCACCAAGGGAACTGAAAAGAAAACTATTTTACCTATGCAAAGAATCACTCCAGAAACAACACGACTCTTCTTCCCATTCAACCCAATTCCTGGCTATCCCAACCTACACATTTCAGTTGGAGCCCATTTTCCTACTGAAGCCATAACCTGTTATGACATCCCAGTGCCTCTATGCTGGAGTAACATGAGTGTATTACTCAACCTAAACCTTGAGATAACTTAGCTTTCTATACCCCTTCTTCCATTTTATTCCCACATGCCACTTCCGAGCACCTTCCACCAGCATCCTCCAATCTAAAATAGCTCTCGAGGTACTTACTTGTTCAAAGCAAAGTCTAAAATTTCAGCCGAGTGGCCTCTGTATTCACTAATGAGCTTTCCTGACCGGGCATCCCAGAGCCTCACAGCCCCGTCCAGACTGCAAGTGTAGACCACGGGGGAACTTTCTTCCCAAAGGAGCTGCACAATACCCGACTGTAAATGGAGGTGGAAAATGCATTAGTAGCATTCATTGGCATGAATCCAGAATCCATACTTTCTTTTGATTGTCCCACCCTCAAGAGGCCATCACAGAAAATTTCCCTTTCTAGGGAGGTGGTGGAGAGAATGACTGGGCTTCAGCTTCAGAAGACCCTGGAGAAAGCAGATGACTACCCTTGATTCGACTGAGTTTCAGGACAGTATGGAGATAGTATTGGTCATGTTTGGTGGAGTTGGGATGGGGGTGGTGCGTTCATCCAGGTACTCCTTGATCTCTCAGTGGCTTCCAGTACGTTGCCCACAGTATCTTATAAGGCTTACTTTGGGTAGATGAGATCGTCTAACTAGAGTAAGTCTAATGACACCCAATTTTATACAAGTCTGATCAACCACGCGCTGCTACTGAAATCCTGACCCAGTGCCTAGAAGCTGTGCCGGCCTGGATGGGATTGAGTGGCTTTGTTTGTCTGCCCCACATCAGGGACATCCCATCTCTAGTCTTTAAAAAGACTCCACTTGAGCTAGAGCAACTTACATAAAACCACAGCGTTTTTCAGCTGCGCATTATCTTTCCTCTCTATTGATAAAGGGGGCGCTTATCTAGTAGTTCTATTAGTTCCTCCTGAACATTAACCTCAAAGAGCACTAGAAAATTATGAGAAGCAGCCTATGAACGGTCGGGTGCATCTGTGCCAGAATACCTTCCTTCCTAGCGTGCCCACCCCCCCGGTGATCACAATGTGCTCCATTACCTCATGCTGGCACTTATGCCTCAGAGTCTGCGTGGCAAGGTCATAAATAGCCAAGGTCCCATCCAAATAGCCGAGAGCTGCCAGTGGCATCCTGCAACAGGAAAGCCAAAGAGAAGGTCTTTTACTGGAACTTGCCTTGCCCAGTTTTGTAGGAAAGCTATAGGGAGTCCTTGACTTACAACCGACCGCAACTGGAGGCCAGAATTTCCATTGCTAAGCAAGGTGGATGTTAAATGAGTCATGCCCAATTTTATGACCTTTTTTGTTTTTTTGCAATGATTAAGTGAATCACTGCAGTTCTTAAGTGAACCATGCATTTGTTAAGCAAGCCCGGCTTCCCTCATTGACTTTGCTTGTCAGAAGCCAGCAGAGAATGTTGCAAACGGTTGATCATGTGATTGCAGGATGCTGCAACCATCGTAAATATATGCCGGTTGCCAACTGCCCAAATTTTGATCACGTGACTGTGGGGAGGCTAATGATGGTTGTAAGTCTGAGGACTGATCATAGTCACTTTTATCAGTGCTATTGTTACTTTGAATGGTTGCTAAACAGATGGTTGTAAGTCTGAGGACTACCTGTAGAAAGATTAGATACATCATCAGAGCATTACTTCCTCTTGGTATGCTAAAGAGCTCCTGGGCACTAAGTATTTGTCTGATTTTCATACTTTTTTGGGGGGGGGGGAATCACGTAGCGATCATCAGAAAAGCACATTGTACGGGTTGGTCCAAACCATCATTCCCCCCTTTGTGGAAGCTTAGATGTACATCATATATGATGCTGGCTTTCGGGAACCTTGCCTGTTCTGATGTGCACAAGGGCAGAACTGGTTACAGGCCATGTAGATCATATTCCCAATATCTTCCTTTAATTGCTGTCTGATTGAGGATGGTTAGAGAAGACTTGGCCAGATTGGGAAGGGCTGATTCAAAGCAATATACTAGCCCTTAAGAGTGGAAATGGTTTTGAAGCATGTAGTTAATGCCAAACACATTCTCTGTGTGTGATCATCTCCCAGTAGTTTCTAAAAGCCAAAGAAGAATTAAGTAACGTTTTTCTGGAATCAGAAAGAAATAAGATGCCAGAAAATATATATCTCCTTCATCTTTGCAGTCCACATCCAGATCTGCTAATCATGGAGGTCTGGGAAGGAGACCTAAAACCTCAGCCAAGTCGGAGCTTTCTGGGCCAAATTGACAATTTATTTAGTCTTACTCACTGTGTCTATGAGCAAAACAAAAATGCCATCTGTACCAAACTCATAGTCACATCTCCTTTCCCCTTAAATACTTACACATTGCAGAAACCCAGGGACTCCACTGAGTTGGATTCTGCCTCCTCCTCAGCTCCCGGGTTGCTCTCTGCCTTGAACACAGACACCACCTGCAGGAAAGAGGCAGCCAATAATGGCTTTTCTCTGCATTCAAGAAGCAGAAGATTATGACTGATACTTTTCTGGAAGTACAGGCTGGATAAACGCTTCATGTAATAAAATCAACAACCCTATAATCTTAGCCAAGAATGCAAAAAAAGTCTGGAAATGTACACACCAATCGTTATCGATTACCAACAAATTCTGGCTGGACTTTCTGGCTTACAAAATGATCGTTATAATCACAATCAGACGTCTCTTATCACACACCGTGACTCTGAAATGCAGCTTGAGATTATGGCTAAAGTTTTCATTTTATTTCTATCTCCAATGCCCCATCCTAAATTTGGATCTGGAGATATAGGAACTGAAAACTACCTTCTGCTCAGGCGTCACTCACACTGGCAAAATGTGGGGCAATCATGGGTGGGCATGATTTAATGGCAAACCTTTCTCCAGCTTTGAAATGGAATAATGAACCTTTCCTCTCAGATGCCAAAGTCACTTTGCTAGCAATGAGAAAGTGTGTGCTTTCAGGTCAAATTAGTTTCAGGAGTGGTTTGCCATTGGCTGAGAGAGAGAGCGACTGACACAAAAGCGCCTTGTTGCGCCGTGGTGGTGCAGTGGTTAGAATGCAGTACTGCAGGCTACTTCTGCTGACTGCCTGCAGTTTGGCAGTTCGACTCTCACCGGCTCAAGGTTGACTCAGCCTTCCATCTTTCCGAGGTCGGTAAAACGAGGGCCCGGATTGTTGGGGAGGTATTATCCTGACTCTGTAAATCACTTAGAGAGGGCTGTAAAGCACTGTGAAGCGGTATATAAGTCTAAGTGCTATTGCTATTGCTGGTTTCGTACTTGGGGCAGGACTAGAACTGCAGTCTCCCAGTTTCTAGCTTGGTACCACTGTACCAAACTGGCCCAGGAACTAGAGAGCCCAGGTTCAAAATCCCCACCCGCCAGAGAAGTTGATTGGGTAACTCTGGAGCAGCATTTTCATTCTCTTCAAATGAGTTCATAGGATAATTGGATAAATAATGGGGGAAGAAAGTTAAAACCTTGAAGTAAACTTGGGACAAAAGTATTGAATTGTCAGCATTACTAAACAACTCTATCTAATCAGGGGTAGTCAACCTTGGCTCTTTTATGACTCGTGGACTTCAACTCCCAGAATTCCTCAGGAATTCTGGGAGTTGAAGTCCACGAGTCATAAAAGAGCCAAGGTTGACTACCCCTGATCTAAATGAACCAAGCAGATACTTTGCACATCTGGACAATTAATAGGAAGGGGGAGGGAAGTGCTCACCTTTCCAGTTGCAGCATTTATCAGCTTGGCATGGCAGTCAACAGAACCTGTCAGGATTAGACTGCCATCCTTCTGGCTGGCCACACACGTTAGAGGGCCCTGGTGCCCCTCATTTCCTGAAAGACAAAGAACACACAGCCAATGAAAGGGCCTGTTAAGGTTTCCTTTTCCATGTGCTATCTTGGCTAACATCTTGATTCTCAAACTCCTGTTTTCTGTGAACAGAAACACCACAATGCCACGTTAGTGATGTAAACTCACAATGCTGATTTATTCATTTTCTGCTTTCCCCTAAAAAAATAAATAATCTATGACTGTACCTCAGAGCCAATTTGAGTATGAAGTACTCCTGGTATTTCCAACTTGCTGAACTACACAGAAATGGAAACCTGAGCTGGCTGCACAATGAAATATACAGTTAACTGACCAGCCCTATCAGTATCTTTGTATTCTGTATTTCCTTGAGAACCTGTATCCTGTTTTCACTATCCTTCAAAAGGAGGAGACATGAAAAGAGGTTTTTCTATGAGGCTTACCCTACTTTACAGGCAAATCTAAAGCAACAGAAATGGGCAAAAGACCCAATTTTTTAAAGCAAAGGTGAGATGACCAGGATACAGGTATTATACTCCGGTGAGCTGAAGGTTTCTTCCACATTTGGTACCTTTCAGAACATGCAGTGAGTTGCCCTGCTTCAGGTCCCAAATGCGCACTGTTCCATCTTCATAGCCGACAACAACCCTTCTCCCTGCATGAAGCATTTTTGTGTTAGTCATTTTCCAGGGTATCCAGACAAATTTAATTTTAAAGAGGCCCATGGACTTTCCCACCTCTATACCAAAATTCCCAAAAAAACCCAACCCATGTTGTTTCTCGTTGCAAAAGGAAATAGAGGATGGGTTCAGAAGTGCGAAGCGTTGGGGTAGTCCCATTCCTGAAGCAATTCTAACATCAAAAACAATACTCCTTACCATCAGGGAGGACATGGCCACATGTAGCCGGACAATTTGGCCCTTGAAAGGTTTTGCATTCTCCACTAGGGATCTTCCACATCCAGCAGTTGCCATCAGCTGTGCCAGCCAGAAGGACATGGGACTGGGGGTGCCATTCTGTCCACTGGAAGAAGAAAGTAAGCCACAGATTGGGAAAAGAGCAAAGCTAGAAAGAAAATGGCTGTTTGTCCAGTCAATCAACACATTCTTCACCTGTTTCATTTATGACCCAGTTTATTTTAACCAGAGTATTCAAATACTTTACACTGGCTAGAGTCACACAGTTTATGCTAAAAACCATACAAAATATAATTCTTGGGTTCATGTGCGCTAAGTCAAAGCAACACATAAATACACTATGGCTTAGTGTCAAGTGCGAATTCCGCCAATGTGAGAAATTATCAGCTAAAACCTAAGCATATCTCTAAAAAGTTTATTATCTTGGATTCAAATAGCATCTTAAAGAGTTACAGGCTTCCTAGAGATCACCCAGGAAGCTCATAATCATATAAGGTTATTCTAATGCACTAGAACAGGGGTAGGCAACCTTGGCTCTTTTATGACTCGTGGACTTCAACTCCCAGAATTCCCGAGCCAGCTGGATCGGGAATTCTGGGAGTTGAAGTCCATGAGTCATGAAAGAGCCAAGGTTGCCTACCCCTGCACTAGAATAAATAACATCACAGTTTATTATAAAGAACCATTTAGTAGAAAGGGGCTTGATGTAAGTCAGGTTTCTAAATTAGCTTCACTGGATGGTGGAGGTGGTGGATGCACAGGTAACTTGCTCATTTCCCCTCCTCCCCTGCCCCGCTTCCTTGCCTCACCCGGAGTGACAATTTTCTTTTGGAATGATGGATCTCATCCAATTCTGAAAAGGCCACATTTTATACTTCCCGAAAACCATGCAAGGAAAGCGATCTTCTTCAATAAGGAGAAAAACCGCATATACCACTTTATGGTCTTTCAACTTCTCCAGCATTTTACCTCAGTGAAACAGGAACTAGTCAGGACATGTGGAAACAGTCTTTTTTTCTTTTTTGACCTGGACCATGTTTGCCTTCCTACTCTGTCTGGGAGCTATAGAGAACATAGCAGAGATGATTTCATCTCACAAGTAAGAGGGGACAAATTCTTGGGACGTTTAAAACGTTTTTTTCAGCTTTGGAGAAGTTTAAGAGTGGAATTGGCATCTTAAGAATTGCAGCTTAGGCCTTTATTCTGTCCCCTAAGTATCTCCCCAGGCGGAAGGGATGTTGGAGGACTCTAAAGAGTGTTTTGGACATCTTTAGGTGACTTACAATGCTTTTGCTCCTTAAAGCCCCTCCACCAGTGAAAAAGAAAATAAAATATAACCACTCTTAACAAATGAAGGGCCCTTGGTGCTCTCTAAGCTTGGTTTTCTTGCAGATGTTTCATGAAACATCTGCAAGAAAACAACCAAGCTCAGAGAGCATCAAAGACCCCTCATTTCAACCTTGAGCTGCAAATATGCTTCTTTATTGGTACAACTCTAGCAAAACTGTGTGGGTTACAAAAAAGGTACTACCATCTCTAAGGATAGCGCCACCATAATTTATCAAGTTTGCTTCGCTTTCCATTGGGAAAGTCAGTTGCCCTTTTCAGGCAAAGCTTTTGCCATGACACTCACAGGCTCACCTCCAAGTCACCCACTTCGAAAGACCAAATCTCTTCTTTGGCATCAACTCGCCAGACTTTAATGAGTCCACCCATGTCACCCGTGGCCACGAAAGTGGAGTCATAACTAAAACCAACACAAGTGACAGAATCTTTGTGACCTAGAGACAGTGGGAAGAAGATGATTATGTTTTGGAGCAGGCAGGTTTTAGAGAGACCAAATGGTGGAAGAACTGATTTGTATGGCAAATGGCTGCAAAAGTGAGGTGAATTGGGCCTTAATTTAAGCTTTAGCATTACTATTTCTTGTCCCGCAATTCCAGAATGTCCAGCTGGTGTCTCCTTATTCCATCAATTATCAAACTTTCCCCGGCTAAGAATGTAAACCTACTGCAGTAACCTGGATGGCTTTAAAGGGGCATTAGATAAGTTCAGTGCAGACAGGTATATCACATGCCATCAGTCTTGGAGATTCAATACTACTTCTGGAGGGAAAGTAGGGGAACATTGGCTGAAATAGATATTTCCTGCTTATGATCACTGCAGAGACATCTGATTGGTTAGTGACTTGAATGCTAAAAGGAAAAATTAGGTGGGGAGAAATTAATCCATCTTATATGGGATATGGAAGCTGGCTCCTTTTTTTCGATGTCTTGCAACTCACTCAAAAGGTGCCTAGATCAAGAAATCTATATGCCTTTTGATCAAGATACCAAAAATATGTTTACTATACCTATTGTTTTTGCAAGTATGTGTCAAGCCCCACGGGACGTCGTCGGACGGGTGTGACAGTATGATAATGTGAGCCCTATTGGAAACAATGTTGCCAGCCAATACACTCTGCAGAGATTTCTGCTTTTGGCACACCTCACCTGTACACTCAAAAAGGAGCTCGCCATCACTGACATGCCACACAAAGGCCCTGTCATCTTCACCACCTGTCACAGCAAGAGTGTTGGTCTTTGGGTCAAGACTGACACAGAAAACTGAAGCTGTGGAGAATTAACAGAACAATGGTAATAGAAGAAATCTCCTGTAAACAAAGATAGTCAATGAATTCAGAACAATCAAATCAATGAAAACCAAAGTCTGGGAAAGGACACTCGTCCTCTAAGACTTTAGCTTATCTGCTTAAAGCTAGAACTGGATTTGTCTTTGAGAAAACCTCCAAATAGAAACCCAGCAAAATACTACAGAAGCCAGCTCTTCCTCTTTTTTTGTTTCAAAGATCTAGCAGCACTTTAAGAAAAGCAACGAAGAAATTTGACATAGTTCTTCTTCAAGTGTTAATCTATTCTATAAGGAATATCACATGTTTTGTTGCTAAGGAATAGCTAGTCATTTAAGACATATTTTATTTTCAGCTTAGAATAGAATCCAGCACAATTCACATTACCGCTGCTTGATTTCAATGGGCAAGATAGAACTCCAGAGCAAGCCATTATTGGCCTGATTCACACATTACAGTGAGCCATATCATGTGATTTTAGTTTAGTCCTTCTGGTTTGTAACCTATAGATCATTATTGTCAACAGCCCTGTGGAAAGTATGCTAAAGAGAGAGGGAGGAAGTGAAGTGAAAAGAACCATAGATCCCTTTTTTCTGGCATATCAAATTGCTGTTAACTATCAACTATTCTGTGACAAAAAATCCTAGAAAACAATGGACAATCCTGTTGTTCTTTGAGTTTTGCAATATATTTATTGCACTTTTATTTACAATTGTTTATATTCCTTGTATGCTGGTCTGACAAGTTTCACTTAAACTGTGGATGGAAGTAATTATAATAAATAAGAGTTGGTCCATTAATAGGTACCGATACAAGTCAGTGATAAACGATCCACACCAACCAATTGTGCTAGAGATCAGTGACCATGACACTGAACACATACACAACATAAAATTTGGTGTATACTTGGTGTCCCTCCATACATGGTAAAGAGACAGCACAGAATGAGTCTGTGCACATGCATTTGGCTATCATAAATACAGGCAATGGAAAGTATGTTGATATACACACACACACATATATAAGAATCCATCTTTTTGATTCATGGGGAAGATTTGCACTCTAAACTTCTTGCTAAGCTCCTGCCTTGGCAGTTCATAACCAATTAGCAGAATCCTCCTGAGCTTCTAAATGACAAAGCATTTAATTTGGGGCAGCAACTAACAAAGGAAAAAGCCATTCCCTTATCCCTTTAATAGCTCACCTGTATGCTTAGAGAATGTGACCTCACTGTCATCCTGAGCCTCCATGCCTTCTTCCACCCCCTCATCTTCCTCCCAAGCAGAGTCTTCTTCTAAATCCACATCTTCTATTTCATCAGCCAGATCATCTGCAGCGAGAGAAAAAGGCAGTTTTAAAATTACCCAGCAGCCAACTCTTCTTCCTTAGATTCATATGTGAAACAGATGTAGTAACAGATCTCTCTGTTCTCTCATTAACCCGTTTGATCTCTCCATTAACCATTCTAAAGAAGGAAAATAAAGCCACTTCTCTGTTTCATTTTTAAAAAAGCACAAGTCAAAAAACTGCCTCACAGAGAAAGCAGGTTGGAAATATCCAGGCTCCATTTCCAAAATCCCTCTCCAGCAGTCCTCGACTTATGACCACAATTGAGCTAAGTGAGAAATTTGTTAAGTGATTTTGCCCCATTTTACAATTTTTCTTGCCACATTTATTAAGTGAATCATTGTAGTTGTTAAATTAGTAAAACGGTTGTTAAGTGAACCTGGTTTCCCCATTGACTTTGTCAGAAGGTTGCAAAAAGGTGATCACGTGACCCCTAGACATTGCAACTGTCATAAATAAGAGTCAGTTGTCAAGCATCCAAATGTAAACCACACGACCATGGGGATGCTGCAATGATCATAAGTGTGAAAAATGGTCATAAGTCACTTTTTTCAGTGCCATTGTAACTTCAAAGGGTCATTAAGTGAACTGATGTGACTTGAGGACTATCTTAGAAAGAATGTTAGACTAAGTTTCTTGCGAACCCATACCTATCTGAAACACTACTTGTTTTGCTACGTGCCTTTTAAAAGGAAGTATTTTCTATAAGAATGCAATTTAAACAAACAGTAACAACTGTAATCATCATCATCTTTCCTTCTAAGAAAAAAAAAAACTCATGCCACTCCACTAGTTTTCCAGACGTCCGGGACAGTTTTTCTCCCACAAATTTCTTACAAGGAAACCCCATCTTCTAGTCCCGTGCCTTGCGTCAAACCCTTGGTTTCCAGGGTCCTACCCAATCGCTCTCTTTTCCTTTACCCGGTCCAGACGGCTCGAGATCCACCACCTCCACGATCTCCTCTGCATCCTCTTCCCCATCACCGCTGGCCATGAGCAACAGCGCTTCGGATGCCGGCTCTACCTTTTCCCCTTCTCCGGGCTCCGCCATGCTGACTCCAACCTCCCGCTGTCACCGGACACGCGTCCCCTCCGTCCTGCTCGGGACTCTCTTCCTTGTTCCCGCCCCCTGTGGCGGGGGAGGAGCCAGAGTACTGGTGCCAATCTCACGAAAGAACGAAAAAAACACTAGCCAATCGGAGCTGCCAACACAGTCTCCCTCATTCGC